TAGCATAGAGACTGTAACTACATCAGTATCAGATCAATGATTTTCAAATCTGATTTGAGTTTTTTTACTGAATTTACCTCTGAGGTCAAAGGTCAGATCAGCAGCTGGTTCCTGTCAGAGTCCCACTTCCTGTGGAGATGATGATGATGATGATGATGATGACGATGATGATGATGATGATGATGATGATGATGACACCGCGAGGATTCAGCTCTCCTGCTGTCAGAATAATGAGAACGAACAGCAGGGGGCGTCAGTTCCACCTGAAACACAGGAAGGTTTCATCACTGAGGAGAATGTGTTTGTTCAGACTCTGACCATCAGCTGACATCGATCAAACAGAAGCTGGAAGAATTTGCTTGACTTCATTTGAATCTTTATCGTCTCTGAACGTGTTAAATGATAAATCCTTCGTTTCTTTGTTTCCCAGAGTTCGTCGACCTTCCACGTGTCCCTGAGTGACGACGGTCTGATCCTGGCGTCTCTGGAGCGCTCAGACCTGCAGGAGAACGTCACAGCGTACGCAGCTCAGGTGTCTGGAGAGGCTCGACTCATCGTGGCCGAGTTCAGGAACACGAGCGAGACGCTGGTTTTCAACACGTCGCTCCACGGCCTCTGTTACTCTGTGAGTCTGCTGCTCAGAGTGGGACAGAGCTGGTCCCGACCCGAGAAGACAGCGTCCGTCCTCACAAGTAAGACACGTCTCTGACATGAAACACTCACATTATGTGTGAATTTCATGATCTTTTGTTGTGTTTAAATCCTCTGTTGTGTTGTTTCTTGTGGTCAGAGCCGCTCCCCGTCCACAGTGTTCAGATCTCGGACTTTAAAGAGTCTCCAGAAACCGGCGTGGTGTTTGAGATCGAACCTCCGGCAGGAAACGTGTTCAGCCGAGTCAACATCAGCTACACGGAGGCACAAGAGCGACGCTCCTTCCTCTATAAAGGTCCGACCAGATTTCAAACAGGATTTCATAACTTTCCTCTGTTCAGTTTCTGTTTTACTGCTAATGAAGTTTTAGAACTTTTTATTTTTCCTTTTTTCAAGTTAAATTAAACATCATTTTGTGTTTTTTGTAGATTTCTACAAAGGGAAGACGGTTTTCAAACACTGGTTACCGGGCGTCTGTTACCGTAACGTCACCTTCCAGCTGATCTCTGAGGCGACAGTGAACCAGACGGCTCTGGTGTCACACAGTGACATCACACACTCACCTTTGCACCACAGGACAGGTGAGAAAACAACTGTATTTAAATCCTTCAGACTGAACATGATCCTGATTCAAATCATTCAATTTAAATTTTCAATTCAGGAAACACTGAACACTTATTTCAAGATTTCATCAAAATCTACAAACACCAACAGATGATTCATATTTTATAATCATAATGACAATTATGATTATAAATGACGGATCAGATTTATGATCTTTTCGTTAAAATAAAATGAGACTTTGTCTTTTTTTGCGTCTCGTCCTCAGTGCCATACCCCCCCCTCAACATTTCCCATAAGATCGTGCACCTGAGCCCAAGGGTGGGGCCAGGTGGAGCTGCCAGCAGGCTCCGCCCTGAGGGGAACCAGAAGAACGCCCAATCGTCCCGTCAAGCCCGGGATGTCCCGCTGATGGAGGAGCAGGAGGAGAACGTCTCAGAGGAGACGGCGGCTGTTTATACTCAGGTTCCCTTCAGCCCGTCACAGAACCAGTCAGGAGCCGCCGCCCTCCTGAACCAGACGACGGAGGCCGAGACGCAGAGCTACTGGCTGGACCCGACCGAGCTGCCGACCACAGACACAGAGGACGAGTTCGTGAACGCCGTGGTGTCAGAGTACGAAGACTCCAACGAGCCGGGCTCCGCCATGGGCCTCCCCTCCGACCCCCCCGTCCTGCCCACCAAGCTGCCCCTCCTCCTGCTGGAGCTGCGCTGGCTGCCCCCCCGACCCCCCACCAGCTACGACGGCTTCAACGTCTACATCTACAGAGACGGTAACCACACACCAGCAGGGGGCGCATGGGAGACGAACGAGGGAAAGGACAAAAAGTCCCGAAGCTAATGAAACAATGTCAACGATGAATTATATTAATATGCAAAATAATTTTGTTGATATTTAAAAATAGTTCAGTCCATATAAAACTTTATCGACACAGATGACCTTGACAGTGTCTCTTGTTTTCCAGGGAACTCGACAGAGACAGCGACTGTGGACGAAAACACTCACGAGTTTTTCACGGAGCTGACGGAGGCGGGGACGTATCGAGTCCAGGTGACGACTCTGAGCTCAGCCGGAGAATGTGAAGCGAGAGAGAGCGCCGCCGACACCAGCTTCAGCTTCTACATCAGTGAGAACACCCCCCCGTCAACATCTGTACAGATAGAATCCATAGAATCTACTAATCCATCGAACTGACAGTCTGTCATGTGACTGGAACAGTTTGAGTTTTTAAATGAACTATTTCAGTTAATTCTCAGATTCTGACACATTAAGGCTTTTTAAGGGTTAACATCCATTAAAGGTTCAGTGAGATTTAGGTGAACGGGATCTATTGGCAAAACTAGAATATACAATAACTAGTGA